GGTGTGGCTTTGATCACATGCTCACAGCTGCCATCTTGACTTTTTTTACCCTCTTCTCACAGATGCCCCTGGTAACCACTATACTATTCAGGTCAATTAGACTGAAAGTTGAAAGTTATTTCAGTGCAGTCAATATCTTTATTACCTTTTCCAATGTTTAAAGCAACAGGCTAATAGTTGTGCCATTTGGAACTATTCCATATTTAGGATTAACATGTATCATTTCTTTTCAAGTTAACAAAGAATATAATCCTTCCTTGGTCTTGGGAAATAGGAACCCTAAACACAACGAACAACTTTAATGGATTATCATCTGCATAAATTTGACATTTTATTGTTACTCACTTCTGCGATTCTCTTTTGATACTACATTTCAAAATTATTGTTATTATGAGGTAACACTTGAACTAAATTACTGATAAGAAGCAACCCTGAAATAATTAGCTAGTGTTGGTTAACAGAATCAGATTGGGGGTCATGAATTCTAAAAACAATTTGTTTAGAAAGTTGGCATGTATTTAATTATAATTAAGAAAAACATTAACACTGCTGGGAAGGTAGTAGGTAGTACAGGATCTATTCCATAAGAAGCTAAAATAACCCTTGTATAAAAGCATGCTTTTGTCCAGAATGTTTTCTGGAAGTGATGGGAAAATGTTTGTGTGTGGTAAATCAGGAACAGCTAGGAATAATAATAATAATAATAAATGAATGGGTGTTGAATGCACATGGACTGAAAGAAAAGTAAAAACCTAGTACAAAGAAGTTATAGTGAGATGGTTTGATCACACAGAGAGAATGACCAATGATGACTTGCAAAACAAATAAATGAAAGAAGAAAGTGAATGAGTTGAGAGGAGAAGGAAAGGGATGACGTGGCCTGGTTGTCTGAGGGATCACCTATTCCCAACAATTTCTGTCTGCCCAGTAAGATTGGGCAGAGTAAGCATGCTCCAGGTCCCTTCAATCAGTGTTTTTCAACCTTGGCTGCTTGAGGATGGGTGGACTTCAACTCCCAGAATTCCCCAGACAGCATGCTGGGAGTTGAAGTCCACATATCTTCAAGTTGCCAAGGTTGAGAAACATTGAATTAAACAATATCATCTATCGGGACCTAGGAGGCATGCCTTTTCTGTCACGATGCCTGTCCTCCAGAATAGCTTCCCCCCAAAGACTGTATGGCTCCCACCCTGCAGCTGTTCTGCAGGTCTTTGAAAACCTGTCCCTGCTCCCAGGCCTAAGGTTACGATGGCTGTCAAGCCTTTGTTAATTTGTTCTGGATGTACATGTCTTTCTTCTTTCATTTTACTGTTTCCTAATTTTGGAGATATAAGTTGCCCAGAGTCGCTGGGAGTTGGGCAGCCTCTAGCTCCAATAAATGAATAAATAAAGACTGAGAAAGTCAGGGTGGGATGAAATTGATGATGCCCTCCAAAAGAAAAAGATGAGAAGGTTTAAGAACCAAAGGCGATGCCTGAAAGTGATGGATGGAGATGGTAGAAGCAAGGATGGTTTGCAAGGAGAGAAAGGTGTGGAGAAGCAATGTGGGGAAGGGAGTCTGTTCTTCCTGAAAGTCCCCTGAAGTTCACCATTGTGCTGACACCCGACATCATTTGTGTCATTTAAATACAGTCATTTGCATGATGATGTCATTACACAAATGACATAACTGGATGCAAACAATGCTATTTGCATCATTCAAATAACGATGTCATCACAGCAGTGCACAAGTTTCAGCGGAATTTTGTAAATCTGGAAAATCAACATTTCACAGTATGTGTATATATGTGTGTGTGTACGCTAGCAGATTTGAACAGAGCAATTTTACGTTCTGATGCCTATTACGATGTGTCAGATTTTTATTTTAATCCCACAATGTGTCCCTTGGTTTTTTATTGTTTTTATTATTTATTTATTTATTTAAATGTATTGGCCTCCCAACTCCAGTGGATTCTGGGCGGTGCATTATTTATTGATTTAAGGCTCCTAGAAAGGCACGTGTTCTTTAAGGGGCTGGGACCGGATCGTGCAATAGGCACAGTTCCGTCTTCCAGGACAGAAGAATGGCAGGGAGGCTCGAGAGAAGCTATCGCGGCACCTCTAACATCTGTTTCTCATCACCACGCTCTGCCCACAGGGAGGCCTTCCCAAACCCACTGCTGAATTCCTTACTGCAACATGCACTAGCCAAGGTTGGACCACCAGAGACCTGAGGACATCACATGGTCCCAAACTCCATTTAGCAGCTTCTACCTCTACCTCAAACCAAAATTCTGAAAATTTGAGATAGGAAACAGACAAAAGTTAAAACAGGCTTTTCCCTGACTTCAAAACAAAATCCCCATCCAGAAAACCTCTCTCATCCTAAAAACGGTGGAAAATCCTGCCCCTGCCCCTTGGAATGACATGGCTTCATCCACTTGACACCATCATCCATTCACTGGGCACCTTTGCTGTCCAAAAATGACAAACTTAGCCTCCAGCCAGCAATTGGTTACCCTTCCCAGCATTAGATTATAGAATATAGATTATAGCCTTTGACTGAAACATGCAACCCAGCGGACCATGAAGGTCTCCACCCATGTTTCCAAACTAGATTAACACACATGGTAATTTTCATGCTTGTGGTCATGAGAACTCCACTGACTGTTTTCAGTTCCAAAGATTCACAGTGGAGTATTTGACATTAGAACATACTGTGAGGCGAGCCTCCAAGAATCTGTGATTGTGGCACGATATAAATCTGATAAATAAAATAAATCAATAAAACATACAGAAGCAACCGGGAAGAGAACCCTGGAGGATAAACTCCTGATCCATGATTACTCTTCTGCATTTGAAAATACCCAACAAACATTTAACGTATCAGATTCGGATTGACAAGGGTTTCAATATCCAGTCGCTTGCCTGCAGGAATGGTTAAGAATAATTTCTGCCTCCTAGTACTGAACCATCTGAAGGCTTTTACCCTAGTTGAATATAATCCCCTTCTCCCAGAGCTGATGATGGACAAGTATCAGACAACACCATTTGGGAAAGCCGTTTGTCCTTGTGGAGTGATGAGGTGGTGACAGTGAACCATGCTATCCAATTTTCTCCATGGGGTAAAGACATTGATTACGCCTTTTTACAGTGTTTTTCAGGCAGGAAGGGCAAAGTTTGTTTCGTATCAGATGAACAATTGGGCCTCTCTAGCAGCAGAGCAGAGTTTCAAGGCATGCTCACCCCCCACATCACCTGTGACAGGTTGGTAAGCTATATGGTGCTGCCCAGCTTTCAGTAAAGGCTTGACTCTCCTTTTAACTTTTCTTTTATTCTGTTTGTTTGCACCTTTCTCAATATTCTGCATGCTGGTCTTCTGACCCTAACAATAAACCAAACCAAACTAAGCAGAGGAAGCTTTGGCATACACAGACTTTCACTCAGCATAAACATAACTCCAGAGAGCTCCCATTAACAGGATATTAAGAAGAGGGACTTTCAGAGATATCTGAGTCTCCTCTTCATTTTTCCTAGAAATGAACGGTTGGTTGAATGCCTGCATATTTTTCCCAACATATCTACCTATGAGATCTGGGCTGCGAAGATCTGAAGGCCAGTAAACAGCAGCAAAAAAGTCAAGATAATTTTAACTCTCTGTGGCCATCTAGAAGCTGTCCAGAATTTTGCAGCCCAGTTCTGGTAACCTGAGGTTCAGGCCTCTTTCCAGATTGAGTGATTTTTGGATCGGTCTCCCTGCCGCCTTGCAAAATGCAAAGCACAGCCCTGGCGTTCTCATGTGTGTTCTTTCCAGCTTTACAGAACAATCATTCTTCAAATCTGCCTGCTGAGTTGTAGCCCAAACTCTGGCCCTAGGCCTTTGTTCTGCGGGATGTGAGCAACAGGAGTGCAAGGCGCGAGCGTGTGGGGAGAATGAAGATGGCAACTTTTCTAAACAAAGGCAGCAGGCAGCAATCCTCCAGATGCCTCTGGGTGCATCTCAAGACAGAGCAGGCGAGCTGGCCCTGGCACCAAGGACTCTTGGAGAAAGCAAAATGTGGGCCAGATTCTTGCCCTTTTCATTCTCGCCAAGTTTTCTGCGTCTTGTCTTTTGGTGGGAGGTTCCATGCTATTCTGGCAGGAGCATTTGATTAGAGGAGGGAAATAATGTCTTCACTGCTGGGGTTTGTTACTGCACGGAGTGGGAATGCTCCTTATTGTATCACTCTAAGGGAGATTCAGGGGAGGAAGAGGCACACCTGGCTGTTACCTAGGTCAGAGAGGGATGCAGACTCTGAAGAGGGCATTTGCCCCACTCCCCATATGTTGTCCCAAGAGACCTTCTAAACTGCAATTTTCAGTGTCTCAGAAAGATAAATTTATTAAATACATGTGAAGTGAACATACTAAAAAAAAGATAGAGATGCCCTCAATCTCCTTGGGATGACACAGACACAAACATAGCATTTCTGCACAACAGGACAAAAGTAATTTGCCACTGCCTTCCTTCTGGAATGTTTTTCAACGTCTCACTGTCGACTACACCCGAGGGATTCCCTAGTGGCCTCCCATCCAGGTTATAACCAGGTCCTGCCATGCTTAATTAAGCTCTGAGCCCCCTGCTAAGATTCTGTGAACATATTAGCTCCATTGAATGAATTCAATTTAGATGGTAGTTGAATGTGAATGAAATAAAGCCAAGTTTAGTTTCCATTCCAGCTCTAGTGATTGCTGGTATAGAAGCAGCTCTCAGCACAACCTCAAAGTCTCAGAGGGCCCCTTGCATACCCCCAACTGAGATTGTAAGAACAACAGCCTAACTAACTTCTGCCAGGACACAGCATGCAGTCTCCACATTGCAGATGTGTCGATCATGATCTGGGCGCCTGTCACATAGGACTGTTTTCACAAGAGCTATATGGAAGTTCTGGGCAGGGTTTTATCCCAGCTGAAGTGGCCCAAACGCCTGTCCCCCCAGGTCCCCCTCCCCATTAGCATGTTTAACTGCATTAACTCGTTACCTTCATCCCTGATGCCGCTGCTGGCCCACTGGGATCCACAGCTTGCACGTGGCAGGGTTTACTCCCACGCACCACAAATCCCCAACCAACAGCATCACCTACAATCTTAAAAGAAAAGGAAAAGATGGCCACAAGGAATCCTGTTAATAATCTGTCTCTTACTGCAGTCTCTCTCTCTTTTTTTTTTTTAAGCAAAGCAATAGCATTTGATATTCAGTAATGATACAGTGGGCAAAGTCAAGAGCCTCACTTAATTCCTGTCTAAAAAAGGTTAAACTTCTTGGTAAAGCAGGTCATACTGAAACTAATTCTTACATTCCTTTGCATGTGCACGTGTTGGTTCGGTGAACAGGAAGACGTTCCAACTTTTGTTTTAAGGAGACATTACCACAGACTTTAGACATCCTAATGACAGGATTAGCATAGCTCATTTTTTAGCCCCCCTTTCTCCAAATGCTAAATTCATCTACCTTAAAAAAAAAAAAATCACCCACACAATTCTCAGTGTACCCGCTGGGAATTATCCAAGACATTTACCAACAGACCCAACTTCTGTTGACAATGAGAAGTAATTTCTTCTTGTTCTTTGCCCAGCAAAACAACAACAATGCAAGGTGGAAAGTTTGTGAAGGAGCACTTATTAACTCTTCTCTACTGTATTTTAAATCTGCATTCCAAGAAGAGTCAAGAAAGCACAGCTTAATTGTAGGGCAACTTTCCTCCTTAGAGACCAAAACCACAGCCAATATGAAGCATTTATACTATAGACCATATGCTAGTTTATATGCTATCTTTGCTCAGATAATGTATATAAGTGTGTCTTGTAAACTGCAAAGCGTTCCATGTTCAAAATGTTTCTAAGCATGTGTGCTTGTACGCATATGTGTATGGATATGTGTGTGTATATATGCACGTGTGTGTGTGTCTATCTGTACATCTGTATCTGTATCTACTGTATCTGTATCTATCTGTCCACCTCATTTCTTGGTGATTGCATGCACGTATTCATGGAGTTTTCATTGGCAGTGATACAGAAGCAGTTTGCCATTGTCTTTTCCTAGCCTTCTTCCTTGACATATTCTGCTGGTCTCCCATCCAAGTACCAACCCAGTCCAACCCTGCTTAGCTTTCTGAGATCAGCCCTAACCCCATCCCCAGCTGGGCACATAAATACATTGCTCTGATCTTATCAATCATATTTATAAGTTCAGGAACTGACTTCAAAACAGTTGTATTATTTCTACACCACTGCATGAAAATAAGCTTCCAAGGACCTCAAATTATGCCACTGTCAGGTTCAGCACCTGAAATTTAATACCTAAAACTCTAAGCAACCGTCGCAGCACAGCATAAACCTTTGTGGGCATAAATGATCAAAATGTGATGAGCAACAGAAAATAAAGATGTGAATCAAAAACTTACAGTGAATGTTTTCCTGGCATAGGGAGCCCCAGGCCTCAAGAGTTCCTCAGGAGTCACTGTTCTCTTTAATACTGCAAAAAAAAAAAAAAAAACAGGAAGGACACCAAAATAAGCCTTGGTTCTGGTTATTCTTCATAGGTTGAAGCTGCTTCCAAATTAGGAATTTAGACTGGAACTGTCTGGCCTCATTCAGCTGTTTTTTACAAGGATTATATCACTATTTCTACTTACTACTTCTGCTTTTTTCTTCTCCCAAAGATGACTTTTTTGAGAATAGAGCAATTACTCTGTACCTTCCCTCTGCACCTAAGAGGGAAATCATTGGGCCATTTTTCACAATTGTCAAGGAGATCAACTGTTCGTTGTCAACAAAGCGAATTTTAGATATGACCCGGATGTGCTTATGCCATGAACGTATAAGGGGAAAAGGCTGCAGCAGGGAGTACCCTCTTGCTTCAGAATACGTAAAGAAAATAGTAAGTTGGTTGCTGATTTGCACTCCTCCTTTCCATAAAGTCTACATGTGCATTTTGACATTTGTCCGCGCGCCCAGGAAATGCCCAGTTTCCGAGCATTTAAATCCAGAGAAATAAACAACCCTGTATAGCTACAGGGAAGAAGAGAGGGAATTATGCTCTTAATCTGAATGACATCACAAGCACTGCTCAATAGATCCCACAATGCTTTTTTATTGCCTTGTCCATAGAAATCAGGCATCAGTCCTACGAACTCTGCTGAAGTAAATGGGACTGCCTTTTAAGCCTACATCAGTGTTTCTCAACCTTGGCAGCTTTAAGATGTGTGGACTTCAACTCTCAGAATTCCCCAGCCAGCTGGCTGGGGAAT